CACGCCCAGCTAATTTTAAAAAATTTATTGTAGAGATGAGGTCTCACCAAGTTGCCCAGGTGGGTCTCAAACCCGCGGGCTCAGGCAATTCACTCATCTCGCCCTCCCCAAGCACGGGATTACAGGTTGAGCCACCGAGCCCGGCTGAATTGGAGTCTTAATTGGTTGCAGTGGTACGATCATGGTTTACCACAGCCTCCACCTCCTCGGCTCAGGCAATCCTTCCATCTCAGCCTCCCAAGCAGCTAGGACTACAGGCACACACCACCATGCCTAGTTAATTTATTTTTATTTTTTTGCAGAGACGAGGTCTCGCTATGTTGCCCAGGATGATCTTGAACTCCTGGGTTCATGTGATCCTCCCATCTCTCCCTTCTAAAGTGGTGGATACAAGCAGCCACTGTGTCAGGTCAAGTGCATATTTGGACCTTTGGACCGTCTCTCTTGAATCACAAGTGTTGCTTTTTTTTTTTTTTTTAGAAAGTAGAATTTATTAAGAGGACAGAAAAGTTCCTACAGTGGGAGGACCCAAGGGAGTTGCCCTACAAGTGTTCTTAATGGCATCTGGAATGGTGACTCCTTTTCAGAAGGTTTTCAATTTACGTTGCCTAGATCCAGTTGAGAAATCACTGTCCATGGTAGCTATAACCTTATAAAAGGTACTTCTTTTTTCTTTTGAGTCAGGGTCTCACTCTGTGGCCCAGGCTGGAGTCCAGTGGCACAGTCACAGCTCATTGCAGCCTTGACCTCCTGAGCCTCACTCAGGCAATACTTTTGCCTCAGCCTCTCAAGTAGCTGGGACCACAGGTGTGTGCCATCATGCCTGGATAATTTTTTGATGTTTTTGTAGACACAAGGTCTTGCTAAGTTGCCTAGGATAGTCTCAGACTCCTGGGCTTAAGCAATCCTCCTGCCTCAGCCTCCCAAAGTGCTGGGATTACAGGTGTGAAACATCACACTTGGCTGTATTTCTTAAATAAGACTTGAAAGTCAAAATTACTCCTTGTAACAACATTCATCTCCTTGCACTGCATCAGAGCTTCTGGGTGACCAGGTACATTGTCAATGAGCAGTAATATTTTGAAAGAAATCTTCTTTTCTGAGCAATAGGTCTCAATAGTGGGCTTAAAATATTCAGTAACCCATGCAATAACCAGATGTGATGTTATTTAGGCTTTGCTGTTCCATTATAGAGCACAGGTAGAGTAGATTTACCATAAATTCTTAAGGGTCCTAGGATTTTTGGAATGGTAAATTAGCATTGGCTTCAACTTAAAGTCATCAAGTGCATTAGCCCCTAATAAGAGAGTGAGCCTGTCCTTTGAAGCTTGGAAGGCAGGTATTGACATCTCTTTAGTATGAAAGTCCTAGATGGCATCTTCTTCCAATAGAAGATTGTTTTGTCTTTATTGCAAATCTGTTGTTTAGTGTAGCCACCTTCATCAATTGCCCTAGTCAGATCTTCTGGATAACTCATTGCAACTTCTACATCAGCACTTCCTGCTTCACCTTGCACTTTTATGTTATAGAAATGACCTTTTTCCTTAAACCTCATGAACCAACCTCTGCTAACTTTAAACTTTTCTTTCTTTTTTTTTTTTTGAGTTGGAGTCTCACTCTGTCACCCAGATTGGAGTGCAGTGGCCATTCCCAGCCACTGCAGCCTCGACCTGCTGGGCTCTGGCGATCCTTCCGCCTCAGCCTTCCAAGTAGCCGGAATTACAGGCACGCGCTACCATGCCCGGCTGATTTTTTTATTTATTGTAGAGATGAGGTCTCGCTAAGTTGCCCAGGCGGATCTCGAACCCGTGGGCTCAGGCAATCCACTCACTTCAGCCTCCCAAAGTGCGGGATTACAGGCTGAGCCACCAAGGCCGGCTAAACTTTTCTTTATAGTTTTCTTAACTCTCTCAGCGTTCATACTATTGAAAAGACTTAGGGCCTTTCTCTGGATTAGGTTTTGGCTTCAGGCAATACAATATTGTGGTTGTTTTGATCTATCCAAATCACACTAAAACTTTCTCCATATCAGCAATACATCTGTTTCACTTTCTATCATTCCTGTGCTCACTGAAGGAACACTCAATTTCAAGAACTTTTCCTTTGCATTCACAAATTGGCTAACTAGCACAAGAGGCCTATCTTTCAGCCTGTCTTAGCTTTGGACATGCCTTCCTCACTAAGCTTCATCATTTCTAGCTTTGAATTTAAAGTAAGATATGCATGACACTTTCATGCGAATGCTTAGAGGCCTTTGTAGGGTTATCCATTGGCCTAATTTCAATATTGTTGTCTCAGGGAATAGGGAAGTCCAAGGTAAGGGAGCAAGATCAGGGAATGGTCTGCCAGTGGAGCAGGGTCAGAACACACATAGTATTTATTGATTCTGTTTGCCATCTCATATGAGTGCAGTTTGTGGTGCCCCCTCAAAACAAGTACAATAGAAACATTAAAAAAAAAACCCACTGAATTAACCAGGCGTGGTGGCTCATGCCTATACTATCAGCACTTCGGGAGACTGAGGTGAGAGGACTGCTTGAGCCCAGGGGTTCAAGAGCAGCCTGGGCAACTTGGCGAGATCTTGCCTCTATAATAAATAAATAAATCAGCCAGGTGTGGTGACGCGTGCCTGTAGTGCCAGCTACTCAGGAGGCTGAGGCAGGAGGATTGCTGAGCCTAGGAGGTTGAGGCTGCAATGAGTCGAGATTGTGCCACTGTACTATAGCCTGGGTGACAAAAAACCAAAACAATACAAAAGAAAAACCTGATCACAGATTGCCATAACAGTTATAACAATAATAATGAAGCCTGCAATACTGTAAGAATTACCAAAATGTGACAGAGACATAAAATGAGCACATGCTATTGAAAAAATGGTTGCCACAAGCCTTTGATTTTGTTGTTGTTGTTGTTGAGCTGGAGTCTCACTCTGTCGCCCAGACTGGAGTGCAGTAGCTCACTCCCAGCCACTGCAGCCTCAACCTGCTGGGCTCCGGTGATCCTTTCACCTCAGCCTTCCAAGTAGCTGGAACTACAGGCACGTGCTACCACGCCTGGCTAGTTTTTGATTTATTGTAGAGACGAGGTCTTGCCAAGTTGCCCTGGCAGGTTGTGAACCCGCAGGCTCAGGCAATCCTCTCGCCTCGGCCTCCCAAAGTGTTGGGATTACAGGCTGAGCCACCAAGCCTGCCCGGATTTTTTTTTTAAAAACCACAATTTCTGCAAAGTGCAATAAAGCAAAGCACAATGAAATGAGGTGTTCCTGTAGTAATAACAGAGCAGGAAAGGTAATTGGGGCCATTCCATCCCTCTTACGTACCTGTAGTCCAGGGTACAAAAGACCACTTAGCAAAGGGTGCTCCACCTGCTTTACCACCTCAGCTCCAGCTTTCTTGGCATCGTGCTGTGTGACCACAGAGGAGAGTCTGTACACATCCAGTGTGTACTCTCTGAAGAGGAAAGGAAGAGGGCACAGCTGTAAGCTGTCTTAGTTTCCCACGACGATCCTAAAGCACATTAATGTACTACCCTAATCTTGGACATTCAAAGAGAACACTGCCTGGTAGCTTCTAAATGTGAGAACTATCTTCTCATCCAAAGTAATATTACTTGTCCGGCACGGTGGCTCACACCTGTAACTTGGCGAGACCTCATCTTTGCAACCAAAAAAAAAAAATCAGCCAGGCATGGTGGCGTGTGCCTATAGTTCCTGCTACTTGAAAGGCTGAGGTGGAAGGATCCCCTGAGCCCAGCAGGTTGAGACTGCAGTGGCCATGAGCATGCCACTGCACTCTAGCCTAGGCAACAGAGTGAGACTCCAACTTAAAAAAAACCAACAACCTCCCCCCCTTCAAAAGCCCAAAGTACTATTACTTTATTTTTATGTTTTTCCTTTTAAAAGATGGCTTCAATTAATTTTTCTTCACTTCTAGTGCCTTTTCAACAAATATCAGAATTTCACCAAAACACATGTAAGAAATAATTAACACAAATAACAGTGTACCCATCACCTAATTTAAGAAAAAGGATCTCACGATTATTTCTGAATCTCCTGAGCACCCTTCCACAAGTACACCCTATTTCTTCCTCTTTCAGTGTAATCACGATCCTGAAGTATGTGTTTCTTTCCAGGTTTATATCACGTTTGTATCTCTAAACAATGTGTTGTAAATATTCTTGAGTATTTTAGTATACACAGGTAAGTTTCTCTATATAAGTAGTAGAATTTCTCAATCATAGAGGATTTGCATCACTTTAGGAGATGATGCCAAACTATTTTGCAAAGTGGCTTTTACTGATTTTGTTACTTAATTTTGCTATTATTTTACATTTTTGCTATTTTGGCGAGCATGGAATAATTTCTCACTGTGGTTTTAATCTATATTTCTTTGAATGACAACCAAAGAGGTTACGTAACTTATCTTTCCATATGCTTACTGAATTTTCTTTTGTGAAATGCCTAGTTAAAAGTCTTTTTCTACTGGATTAACTTATTTCTTTAACAATTGATTCCATAATTTTTCAAATATAATATTGGCTATTAATCCTTTGTCAGTTATATGTGTTTAAATATATTCTCCCAGTTTGTGGCTTCTCTTTTTATTTTACCTTTTCCTGAAAGTCTTTTTTTTTTTTTTTTTGAGTTGGAGTCTCACTCTGTCACCCAGACTGGAGTGCAGTGCCACGCTCCCGGCCACCGCAGCCTCAACCTGCTGGGCTCCGGCGATCCTTCTGCCTCAGCCTTCCAAGTAGCTGGAACTACAGGCGCGCGCTACCATGCCTGGCTAATTTTTTGATTTATTGTAGAGATGAGGTCTCGCCAAGTTGCCCAGGTGGGTCTCGAACCCGCGGGCTTACGCAATTCACTCACCTCAGCCTCCCAAAGTGCAGGATTACAGGCTGAGCCACTGAGCCCAGCTTCCTGAAAGTCTTAATTTAGTATAGTTAAATTCATCAGTCTCTTCCTGTGGTTTGTGCTTTTGGTCTTGTTTACTTTTCCTATCGTGAGACTGTAAAATACTCTTGTATATTGTCTTTTTAAGTGTCTTACAGTTTGGCCCTTACAATTAAATCTTTATTCCACTTGGAATGGAAGGATCTTCCCCTCCCCCCATAAGGGCCAGGCATAGTGGCTCACGCCTGTAATCCCAGCACTTTTTTTTCTTTTTTTTTTGAGTCAGAGTCTCACTTTGTCGCCCAGGTCGGAGTGCAGTGGCACACTCATGGTCACCACAGCCTTGATCTGCTGGGCTCAGGTGATCCTTCTACTCAAGCTTTCCAAGTAGGTGGAACCACAGGAGCGTTGATTTTTAAATTTATTATAGAGATGAGGTCTTGCCATGTTGCTCAGGTTGGTCTCTAACCCCTAAGTTCAGACAAACCTCTCACTTCTGCCTCCCAAAGTGCTGGGATTACAGGCGTGAGCTATTGTACCCAGCTAATCTTAGCACTTTGGGAGGCCAAGGCAGGATTGCTTGAGTCTAGGAGTTGGGAGACCAGCCTGGGCAACATAGCAAGACCTTGTCAATATATAACAAATAATAAATGTTTTCCCCAATTGTCTCTGCACCATTTTTCCTTACAACGTTTATTATTCCTCTGCTTATCTCCAATGGTAGCTGTGTTGTATGCCAAATTTCCATAGTTGTGAGGACCTATTTTTCAACCCTCTATTCTGTTTCATTGGTTAATTATCTATCCCCTGGCTAATTCCATATGTATAAATGACAAATAATTCAATATTCAGAAAATGTAAGGAACTCTAAAAAAAAAGTAGAAAAAATGGGCCAAAACACTTGCATCGGTACTTCATAGAAGAGGAAAACCAAATGGTCAAAAGAAAATAAAAATTTCTCAGCCAGGTTTGGTGGCTCAGGCTGTAATCCCACGCCTTTGGGAGTCTGAGGTGGGTGGATTGCCTGAGCCCACGGGTTCCAGGTAGCCTTCCAAGTAGCTGGGGCTACACCATGCCCAGTTAACTTTTTGACTTATTGTAGAAGTGAGGTCTCACCATGTTGCCCAGGCTGACTAAACTTCTGGGCTCAAGCAATTCTCTCGCCCCAGCCTCCCAAAGTGCTGGGATTACAGGCATGAACTATCATGCCCAGCCTTCCTTCAGAATTTTAAAGGCATTGCTTCACTGCCTTTGGCTTTCAGTATTCCTTTTAGGAAATGCCAGGTCATTCTGATTCCTGACATTTTGTATGTGACTTCTGTTGTCCATTGGGAATTTGCAGAATACTTTCTGTTCCCCATATTTTAAAATTCAAGACAAAAAATACTTTTTGTCCCCAATTTTTTTTGAGTTGGAGTCTCACTCTGTCACCCAGGTTGGAGTGCAGTACCATGCTCACGGCCACCACAGCCTCGACCTGCTGGGCTCAGGGGACCCTTCCACCTCAGCCTTCCAAATAGCTGGAACTACAGGCATGCGCCACTGCACCTGGCTAATTTTTTGATTTACTGTAGAGATGAGGTCTCACCAAGTTGCCCAGGTTGGTCTCGAACCTGTGGGCTCAGGCAATTCTCTCACCTTGGTCTCCCAAAGTGCCAGGATTATAGGTGTGAGTCACTACGCCTGGCCCAAGAGAATAAACTTTATTTATTTTATTTTTTTAGTTGAAATCTCACTCTGTCACTCAGTCTGGAGTGCAGTGGCACGCTCACGGCCACTGCAGCCTCAACCTGCTGGGTTCAGGTGATCCTCCTGTCTCAGTCTTCCAAGCAGCTGGCATTATAGGCATGCACCATCATGCCCGGCTAATTTAAAAAAAAAATTTACTGTAGAGATGAGGTCTTGCCAAGTTGGCCAGGCTGGTCTTGAACCTGTGGGCTCAGGCAATTCTCTCACCTCAGTCTCCCAAAGTGCTGGGATTATAGGTGTGAGCTACTGCGCCTGGCTGAGAATACACTTTAACGTGGGTTTATTTTCATCCATTGTGCTAGGCACTTGAGTCCTTTCAATATAGAAACTTGTGTCCTTTAATTGTCCTTATTTTTGTAAATGATTTCATTTTTTTTTTTGAGTCAGAGTCTCACTCTGTCACTGAGGCTGGAGTACAGTGGCATGCTCACTGCCACCGCAGTCTCAACTTGCTGGGCTCAGGTGATCCTTCCGCCTCAGCCTTCCAAGTAGCTGGAATCACAGGCAAGTGCTACCACACCCAGCTTATTTTTTTATTTATTGTAGAGATGAGATGTTGTTCAGGCTGGTTTCAGACCCCTGAGCTCAGGCAATCCTCTCATCTCGGCCTCCCAAAGTGCTGGGATTACAGGCTTGAGCCACCGTGCCAGACAATGATTTCATTCTTAAATGATTTCACTGATGATCTCCTTCCCTCGGATTCTCTGTTCTCTTTTCTGAAACACTTATTATTCAAATATTGGACCTACTAGCCTAGTACTTTAATTTTTTTATGTTTTTTTCTTTTTTCCCCTACTGTACTCTGTGCTGCCATGAAAACCAAAGTTAAAGAATATAAATTCGCATGCTACTGTACTCCAGCCTGAGTGACAGAATGAGACTCTGACTCAAAAAAAAGAAAAAGAATATAAAATTCAGTGAGCTCCCTTAAATTGCAAATCATCTTCACCATTCTACTTACCATATTTTATAGATTGTCATATTTTTTAACATTAACATCTCTGAAATCTAGATGAGTCTTATAAACAATGGTGTGTAATAGATTAATTAGAAGTGTTTTATGGTATCTTAGGCTTGAGCCACTGTGTCTGGCCATTTGAAAGGTTTTAAACATTTTAAATATAGAGACTATGAGGCAGCATGGGGGAATTATGTAAGAATAAGTAAAAATTAGTGTACAAATTATATCTATGCTAACATAACAAATATGAACAAAACTGACAAAGAAGCCATAAAAGTTATTGAGATGAGGAACAAGTGAAATGTTTTTCTTTTTTTCTGAGTTGGAGTCTCACTCGGTCACCCAGACTGGAGTGCAGTGGCCGCTCCCAGCCACCGCAGCCTCGACCTGCTGGGCTCCGACC